CTAAAAAAAAACTAAATCTGTGATTTCCAATTTAATTCAAGAGTATGTAAAACATGACTTTTACTTAAACTAAATTTGTATTTAGTTCAGTGAACATCGATAACTTATATTGAAGCTAAAATATAAGTTTGTATTTAGTTCAGTGAACATCGATTCACTTCACTTCAATTTTACCCTTTACAGCAAAATTTTAAATTGGATGCCCTTTTAAAAAGCTACGCTTTTGATTCAACAAACTTCTTATCATCAAGCTATAAAATTTTAAACCATGAAAAGATTTCACCTTTTACAGCAAAAAGTTACGATTTTTATGGTAAAAAACAAACACCTCACATAACTGAATCTGGATCCACTGCAGTGAATCTAGATTCACACATGCGTGTCTTCGTTTTACAACTGGTTTCTTCAAAAAACAGGAAACTTTTTAGACTAAAAGGTGAAAATTTTCACTTTTTACAACAAAAAGCTATGCTCGTACACAAAGTTATAGCCTATCATCAAGCTATAAAATTTTAAACCATGAAAAGATTTCACCTTTTACAGCAAAAAGTTACGATTTTTATGGTAAAAAACAAACACCTCACATAACTGAATCTGGATTCACTGCAGTGAATCTGGATTCACTGTAGTGTGTCTGAATCTGGATTCACTGCAGTGAATCTAGATTCACACATGCGTGCCTTCATTTTTCAACTGGTTTTTTAACTGGTTTCTTCAAAAAATAGGAAACTTTTCAAAAAATAGGAAATTTTTCACCTTTTACAACAAAAAGCTACTATCTTTAAGGTTAAAACTAAAACTTTTACACGAAAAATCAAACAAATTTCATAAACTTACCATTAAAACGTCAAAATAATTTAACGATGACAAAGGTTGAAGACGGTGGTTGAAGATGAAGGTTGAAGACGAAGGTTGAAGAAGACCGTTGATAGAGATGCAGTTGAAGGCAAACGTAGCATTAGATAGGTTGGGATGAGTTTTGGAGAGAGAGAGAGTTGCCGTGACTTTTTAGATAGGGAGATGTTGAAGAGAGAGAGAGAGTTGCTGTGATTTTGGAGAGAGAGAGAGATATGTTATGACTTTTGGAGAACTCAACAGACACATGCATTCATTACAGTGGCAACATGCATTCATTACAGCTGGCTGTTAATTTTACATGATTACCCTTATGCAGCTGTAATAGTATTATAATCCCAGCCATTGGATGAATCTAGATCCAATGGAGAGGATTGGTTTTTAGTTTTTAGGATAGTGAGGTTTTAATTTGAAAAACTAAAAACCAATATCATCCAATGTCTAGGATTCAGTCAAACAGTCAACAACCACATGCATTAATTACCTCATTAAACACATGCATTAACTACCTCAATGCAGTGAATCCAGATTCACTACAGTGAACCCAGATTCATTACCTCAACGAACACGTTCTTCACTGCAGTGAATCCAGATTTACTGCAGTGAATCCAGATTCATTACCTCAACGAACACGTTTTTTACCACAGTGAATCCAGATTCACTGCAGTGAATCCAGATTTGAGTTCGTTGAGGTAATTAATGCATGTTCTGTTGACTGTTTGACTGACTCGTAGCCATTGAATTCATCTAGATCCAATGGATGATATTGGTTTTTAGTTTTTAGGCTAAGGAGGTTTTTATTAGAACCTCTCCCTATATATATATATATATATATATATGTGTGTGTGTGTGTGTGTGTGTGTGTGTGTGTGTGTGTGTACATACATACATACATATATATATACTCAAAAAATTATGTATGCATATTTGTAGAACAACACTCCGATCTCAGTGTTCCAAAATTGCCCCTAAATCATTGACTTTGAGGGGGCAAACCCCTCAAGTCAAAAAATCATCAACTTTGAGAGGATATTTTGTAACTGCAATGTAGAAATGTCAACAAAATATTTAAACATATGCTCTATATCCAGCAAAATTGATGATTTATTAAATTCAGGGGTATTTTTTCCCAAAATTAGTGATTTCGTGATAGTTTTGTAAATATTGAGATTTTTTTTGTTAGGGGGTGGGTAGGCTTGTCCAAACGGGCCGACCTGACCTAGGTTTTCAGGTTTGATCCTGGCAAAATGCCTAGCACGAGCCTTGGCTCGGGTCTAGGTCCAGGCCAAATCGGGCCAGGCTCTAGGCCGGCCATGAAATTTTTTTTTCTAATTTTTTGGTCGAAAATTACTAAAAATTTTAGATTTTTTTATTATATTTATATAAGTATGTATTAGTATGTTATTACATATTAGTAAATAGCTATATATGATATATACATATATATTATATGTAAATATATTGTATATACTTATAAGTTACAACTATAGAGAGAGAGAATCACATAAGCATATGTTACTTATTTATAAATACGTATTATATGGTCATATATGTATTTGTTACATACTTATATTATGCTTATTTAAGTATATTTATATACTTATATGATATAATTTTATATATACTAGATGCAATATACTTATACATATAATTTTTCTTATGTACTTATATATACTTATTATGTGACTATAAGTCTATAATATACACATATAAGTATACTTATAACTACATTATATACTTATATACTTATATCTTAATATCTATATCACGGTAAGAGTATGTGTAAAAGCATATAATACAATATACTTGTATACTTATAAATATACACATACACACACTTGAGTAACTAAATATATACAACTATATACACTTAGGACTAGGAAGTTATTACCATTTTCCTCAAAAATACTAGATACACTTAGAAATATATATAAGTATACATTAATGACCATATCATTATTTAATTATATATAAAAAATATATATACAATATATGTAAAAAATATATAAATTTAAAAATCGGGCAGGCCATATAAAAAATATATATACAATATATGTAAAAAATATATAAATTTAAAAATCGGGCAGGCCCGGCCTAGTCGGGCTTCAGCAACACAACCTGGGCTCGGGCCCAAAACCCGATCAGCCCGGATTTTCCGGGCTTTTCCCTGTTCCGAGCTGAGTCCGAGTCGGACATCAGGCCGGATCTGAGCCGAATTAAGTCCAATTGGACACCCCTAGGGGTGGGTGGAGAGAATGATTTCGGGGTAATTTTGCAAATATGGAGATTGGGTGTGGAAGGTTTGCAAATACGCATTATTTAAGGGTATATATAAAAAAACCTTCATATTTAACCACCAGCATAAAACAAGATCACCATGGTCACTATCACTACTTTTACATTGCTATACTGTTGTACATAATTAATATTAGTTATTATTTTGTAAGAGAAATTGAAAGCAAAGGACTGCGTAAGAGGATCATGTAAGCAAAAAGTATAACCTAGATATTTTACAAAGTTCTAAAGCAGTACCTTATTCGAACTTGGTGTACTTGTTTCAAGCATTATTATCTGGTCAAAGACAAAGTTTACTTTATATAATTTAGTGACTACATCTTCAACTGTTGCACTAAAATAACCTCATTTCTAGCTCATGATGTGCATAAAGAACATGATAATAGCTCAATCAAGATGACAAAATGGGCCACGTATGAATTTAACTAAAGTAATTGAAAATTTTAAACTTTGAAGCTACAAACTCTTGTTGGGTTCCTAGAAAATGAAGCCGAATTGTATTTGTTAAAGTGCCAGAGGTCAATGCTCTGAGCAAGCATTGAATTTTAGCACTTTAAGGTACTGTTGGATCACTTTTATTATAATGCTTCGTACGCAACTTCAAGTCAGATTTGCTTCCTAATTGTCAACTAATAAGAGAAATCCTAAAGAATGATTTTGGCTCTACCTAGTGACATTGACGGTTCTCGCTTTTAAGGGGCATGATCCATTTGCTGCGAGAGGGGATTGACTTCTTGTTTTATTATCAGCAACATTTGGTGAACTCTTTGAAACTAGATCCGGATGCTATTTTGATTCCAACGGAGGGTGGATCAAAATAGAATCGCTTTTAGGGGCGTTTTTTTCGCATCGAAAAAATTGTGCCAGCACGAACCCTAGCTCAATTTTTTGCTCGGTTTTACGAAGCAACATTCTTCTCAAAATGAGACCAGGATTTGAAGGTTGTAGTCTTAAGAAAAAATTCATTAGATAAGATTCTCTATTTGAAGATATCTAGTATGAAATCTGATGCACGCATCAGAATTATCTAGTACCGTAGTCAAATTGTCTATCAGTTTGATGTTAATTGCATTGATATATAAACTAAGTATTATAATGATAGCTGATAATAACGTGTGCATTAAGATTCGTTAGATTTAAGTATTTTTTTTGTCCTTAGATTGATTTTCTATAGAGAGTCTTCCCCCCTTTCAAATTTCAATTCCAAAAAAGTCAAAGTGCAAATGGATTTTTAAGAAGAAAACTCTTCCATGACGATGCCACGATTTAATTTTGGTCTAAGCTTTGTGGCCTTGTGGGTATGCTTCTTCTTCACTATTGACCTAAACTAGCGGGCAGATATTACCCTAGTGGAAAACAAGGTCTTGCTCATCATTTGTGCATCGGTATATGCGCTCATAATTAGAGACTATAGAACATTTGAACTTTTTTTTAGTCATCAATATTTTGAAATTTCATGAGCATTAACAATATATCAGTTTCAACTCTTGGTTCGAAAGCAATCCTCTATATATTAGACATCCAATTGGCAGTAGATAATTTCCCTCAAACGACAAAAGAAAATCTTAAGTCTTTTTAAAAAATATAGAAACTATTCCACTGAGATTTGGAATACCTACTCAGATCTGAAATAAGCAAAATCATTGAGGAAAATTTATTATTATTAACTGAAACAACTATGTTCTACTCTAATACACGAAGCATTTGACGTCATTGGGAGATAAATTCGTTTCATAGTAGTGCCACGCCATTGAAATGAATTTATAAAGGTGGAGTAGATGTGTTATTTGACTTGGAAGTTTTCTTGTTTCGCGTTAAGTTTATAATGGGGTAAGATTAGTCAAAGTCAT